GAAATAACTGCGATACGCAACGATAACGACAACATCTTCCGCGACGGTTCCTCGAGGTTTTGAAGAGGATAGGGGTGCGGACTGCCGCGTCTCCACCAGATCTTCCTGGTTCCTCACCCAGCGACCTCTCACCTACGAGTGTATCCGCGCGAGGTACCGACGTACCACGAACCATCCTTACGACACCGTGAACGTATACCGCACTACCGTTCGGGACGACGTCCCGCCTAAACGAAGTATATCACCGCGTAAAACCAGGCGTACTCATTTTGCGTTCTAGTATTAAGTTACGTGTCTGTTTCGTCTTTTAAGCTTCTTAATAAATAGTACATATTTTGCATCTCTACTCTCTCTAATTTATTCTCTTACGAACCCGGCATACGGCGAGCAGAAATCCGCGGCATTTCCGGAACGACGGCCTAACCGTCGCAGTACTTAATGAAAAAATACGTTATTAGTGTCTCAGAAAGCTCTCGTGATAAGCTACAAGAACATGCAATAAAAAAATAGAAGATTCCATTAAAAAAATTCAAAGTGATCTTGTATTGATCTTGGCAACTTCACCCAAAGAATATACCTAAGAGTCAACCTAAGAATATTAATAAATAGATTTTTTGAAACCTTATAACTTTTATCTGAAACACTTTTTCCTAAAATTTTTAGTTTCGAGATATTTCACCGTCCTCGAACTTTATTGACACTCTGTATATGCAGTACATAAAAATAGAACTGTATCACTGTTTGTTTTGTGCAAAGATATCAAGAAAATTTTAACGTAGTTACGAAAAATATATCAAACATATAAAACAATACCTAACATCTTTCAACTAAAACTATTATGATTACTGATAATAGTAGCACATAGTAAGAGACGTTTAAGAGCATTAATATCTGTCGCTATAGTAGGTGCGGATTAAGTTTGGTAAGTTATTCCGGTAAATTTTTGGTCACTAAATACGAATCTGGCAGTAAATTTGTTCTATCATATTATGTTTCTGAGAAAATTAAGGATAAATATGCAAAAAGAGTTTTAGGTCATTTTGGGCAGCTTATATCTAATAAACTCAAATAGTTCGAAAATTCCATAAAAGCTAAAATAAAAGTTTGAAGGACGTACTTTAATATATGCAAAATATTAATTTATCCGCGGAAACGCGGAAATATAGTGGCCAAGAATCTATCGGAAATGACTTGCTAAACTTAATCCGTGCCGACCACCATGGCGACCGGTGTAATTGTGTAATACGTTTCATTATATAACCGTACCTTTTAAAAAAATGATCGACTAGACCGTGTTATGTCTTGCAACACCATTATGCTCCAATTTCCTGTAGTAATTATCTTCTTTTAATAAAAGTTTATTAAGCAGTAATTTGAGTGCGTATTTTTTCCCAAACATATCCATCACATATTCATCATAAACTTTTATTTAACTTTTGATTTAGGTATTTAATTAACATTTTAATTCACTTACGTGAATTTTTAAAAATTTTTTAGCGTATTAACATTATTTAATAATATGAGAACACAATGGATCCATGAGTCCGATTTATGTTCAAGAAAAACAATCCGGTTTAAGAATTAATAATGATTAAAGGACAAAGATTTCTACTTTTCTTATATAAAGCTACGTACCTTAGATTGTTGAATTCCTGGAACTTTCAATATAGAAATCATAATTCGTAGGAGAGGAGTGATGTCCTCGATAGAAGGAAGCATAAGAACGAGCCTCCGAAATAGCCCATCAAATTGCGCTAATAAGCCGCTCCACGTAGCAACTCCAGGACCCAATCCTGCTTCCAATGGTAAACAATCCAAGTAACACGCAATATTATATAATATTATCGGAAGCCGTTCCAGTGGTAGTGATTTCTTCATATTCAAAGTCTGAAAATGGAATTTCTATAACTATTCATCAAGTAATAGTAATATTACATTACTGTTATTTATATGTAATTATCTATTCGTCTCCTTCCAACGTAATACAACATATGTTTTTTACTTGATTTTAATATGGTTTGCACACTTTCTTCTGGATGCAGTTTAGAACGCACACACACACACACACAAAGCTCATAGTTTGAGAAAATTTACTTCTAAAAATTATTTAAAAACAAGTTCTTTTATTAGATATTAGCTATGTTCCAAATTGCATAAAAAGAAATGTCTAAATTGCATTGAAATTAAATATGTGTGCATTTACATAAAAATTACATCGTTGAATAAAAAATTATAACATAGATCTAAGGTTACTATTACTTGATGTTTAGTAAGTAACTATGAGTGAAATTAATTTTCTTAAAATGCTCTATCTCAGATAGCCAAGAAGTATATTTTACGCAGTGTCTGTTATGAAGCAAACTGTATTAGCAGAAATACAACAAAATCTATGCTAGTATGCGAACTTAGATAGCAAAGTATGATTGATAGCAAAAATCGAGTAGAATCTGCCATTCCGTAATTATTTAAGTCTATTTCAATGCAACACATTGCAGATACTATTCAATTTCTATCAGCAATCTGCTATCAACTTATGTCAGCAAATTTTGTTGACATAAATTTAACATGGACACAAATGGCTATAGATGGCTATATTTTACAGTATTCTGAATCTGCTACTATTCTGCCAATATACAGTCAACATTTTGCTTATTGGAATGCCAAATGTGTCTTACATATTATAAAATAAAAAATAATTACATAGTAAATTTATTTGTAGTATCAACAATTATCTCAAAATAACTTGTTTACCTCGAGTAACAGTTGCAAAGGTGCAATGGGATTTAATTCATTAAAATCAATCAATGCTTGGGCAACACTTTTGAAGAACTGCAACCTTGTTGTTTCTGTAAATTGAGATTATATGTCGTATAAAAATCTTTAATTTTAAATTTAAATTATTCTAAATGTGACATAGGGTAACATGGGGAGCAATATGCCATACTTAACAGAAATTTAATTTTTTAAATAATTTCTTCTCATTAAAGTATCTTTACATACTAGTCTCTTTTTTTCTGTCATTTATACATGCATTTCATAGAATATTTTCATTGCTTACTATTAAACAAAAATAAAAGTATATATATATATATATATATATATATATATATATATATATATATATATATATAT